CTAAATTATGGATTCGGTCCTTTACTTTTATTTATTATAAAAAAAACCCTTTACATATGCAATTTGTTATGGATTTGGTCAATGAGGCTAACGACTGTCTTTTAGGTGCAAAAACCAACAAGGGGAGAGGTAGATGCAAAGATTTTACGGTGGGGAATGGGGTTTCGATTCCTGCAAAACCACCTTGAAACAACACAATCGAACACAGATCTGTAGGGGACCTTTCATCACGCCGAAGGGGAACACGCTAACAACATCTGGGTTTCCATCTGGTCTCAAGACTTGACATGTTGAGTTTACAGATTTGGTCCTTATTGCTTAAAAAAATGTTAAAATAAGTTAGAAATGTAAAAAAGACTAATTTACCCTCGTAGTTAACGAAGATAGTGGAAGGACGTTAATGTGTAGGACCAAATCCATAACAAATTGCATATGTGAAAGGTTCTATTATAATAAATGAAGTTAAGGGGCCATCTTTGACATGCCTCATAAAATTGACAATAGCTGACAAGTGTTTTCAATTTTTGTATTACTAAGCGACATAGAATTAAAGTTCTAAGTAGTGTGAGATGTGACGTATAGGTAATGTCAAAACCCGACGGTAGTTTTTATTAAAACCTCTTTTTTATTTATTGATTTTTTTGACATCAATAATTATTATAAAGTCAAGAAAACAAAATAAAAAGCAAGAAAAATGTCACTTCATACGAACTTTATGGTAAAAACCAACGTTCTTGTACAAGAATCTAAAGAGGATGATCAGGTTCTCATCTTATAAGAACTTTTCACAACGGTTGTTCCTTCAAGCCACTTCACTTTTTGCTAATATAAAACCTTGCATTGAAGATGCTCTTGGGGGCATGATGAAGACACGATATTATTCAATATCTGATTTGAGGCAATAAGTACATATATCTTAAAAATTCAGTGTACAAAAAAAAAAAAAACTAACAAAAAACATGGCAGGGCGGCACCACAACGTAAACAACCGGGTTAATACGACGTGGAGATACGCCAAACCGTGACAACCGAGGGCAAATTTTAAGGAGGGGGGGGTCCATGTTACCGCTTTATCGTGATAGTGTAGTGGAATTTGTTTTAAAGGTGTATTCGCTTTAATTTCGATGCATGCTCATTTAAGTTAACAAAAAATGCATACTGCATACAGTATGTTGGCAGTGTCATTGTACGTGACATTATAGATCGAGACACAATACTCAAACGCTTGATAAAAAATGTTGAAAAAACTATGCCTTTTATTTGTAATCAACATTATGACGATAGCTATATATGCAACCACAAAAATAATGCTACCTTAGTAATTGCGAACCATCTTTAAAATGTGAGAAAGTTCGCTCTGTATTGTAGACTGATTTGTATGGCAAACGAAAACCAAGATCAACTCGAGATAACACGGTAGATGCCGTCGGTTTAATCAGTATGCATTCAACTAAACCAAACGACATTTGATTCATCATACTGTATCGTTATCTTTATCAAACATAAGTGGTACAAGTAATCATTAATTTTAAACATCGTGGTCCTATCAGAAACGTCTGTTTAAATGAGCTACTATTTTATAACTTTATTATTTGAATATAGGATATTTTGTGTATTTAAAGTTTGTATTTTTTATTTATTTTTATAGTGGAATGGCACCTCATTGAAGGCGATGTTGTGGAGTTATGTAAATAATAATAATAATAATAATAATAATAATAATAATAATTCATCTTATAAAATTTTATTTAATAAAAAAATTATTTTTATGGGCAGGTATCGCAGGTAATTCAGTCTTATGGTTCTTCATTATCTGTATTATCAATTAAATTACTATAAGAAAGACAAAGATTCATCGGTAACTATTAAGAGATCTTTGATGTTTTGTGACAACTTCAAATGATAAAATATCGACAAATTAGCGAGAGATTAAGGACAAAGACGATCTATCATTAATCTATTAATAATTACTGAAGGATAAAGTAATTGTCCACTCTGACTTATTTATATAAAGTTCTTCAATATATTCTTGTTAAAATTTCCACATGGGTCTAATCAAATGAGAACTAATTGGTTTGTGATAACTGTGAGGTCCAATCTCAACCATAAATCAATAGATAAATTGGAAACTTTATAATTTTGGTAATTTTGAATTAAAATTTTAATGCAAGAACATTTTAGATATTTTCTCTCTTCTCTCTCCGTCCCCCGGTGATACCACAGTGGTATCACAATGCATCTTATATGTTCATGGGTATTACAGTGAGATCGTGTGTGTGGTCGATCGGAGATGTAACACAGTAGTATCATAATACATCTTATATGTGCTTGAGTACCACACTGTGTCTTTTGTTTAACAGAGTCAATATTTTTAGGTATCACAGTGGTATCATCGGAGCACGGAGGCCAGAAGACGGGGGACGAAGAGAGAAGATAGGAGAGAGGAGAGAAAATACCTAAAATGTCTTTGCATTAAAATTTTAATTCAAAATTATCAAAATTATAAATTTTCTACTTTATCTATTAATTTGTGATTAAGATTGGATCTCACAATTAACACAAAACTAATCAGTTCTTTCTTAAGTGAGTCACACATTACCAACGAATGCCTAAGAGCCATTCTACTTTTTAATTTTATTGGACATCTGACGGTAAGGTGTTGCATCTTATACATGGATAAACAACAAACTTTAATTTTTTAATTTTTTAATATTTTTTTGAAATTCTTCAATAAAATCTATAAAAAATAAACTCTTTACCAACCAATAATGTATGCGTCTAATATATAATGTATTGAATCATATCAGTCAACAATCAAAAAAAGTTCTTATTGAAAATTATAGGAGGGAGCTGAATAGGAGGTATGGTTCAAAAGTATTTACGGAAAGTTATACCGACATATATGACTCGTGTGGCAAATTTTCAAAAAAAACATGTTTAAATATACTTCCTGCAGTAAAAAATGTAACGGGTGAAAGTTAAAAGAGCTTATCCAATAAGAAACTTGAAAGGTGAATGCACAATATTAATGATGATAGATTCATTAAGAAGTAGCCATGTAATTAATAAACGAAAGATAGCATGTACAAATTCGAAGTTAATTACGCAATTACCAACTAAAAAGCCATGAAAGATTTAGAAAATGGTCATATGAGTAATTGCATATGTGAATCGTATAATAAATTTTTTCAATCCCTGGTATTTAGAGACTGGTGGGAAATGAGCTAATTGGTGGTTTGAACACTTGCGAGTGTTGTATAATTAGTACCATAATTAAGACGAAGCACTGAGAGACGAATGTGAATGATACCAGAGGTTAAGATCTTTACATGAATTGTTTAAGATTTCACTGAGTGTTGGCAAATAAAATTGTTGGGTATTTGGTTTGTCGCATATAGACCAAATCCTAAACCTTGGGGTCTTTTGACATGACGAGGATAAACAGAGAGAAGTGTGGAATACCCACGGTTTCTCACATGATTTTAAGTCGCGTCGTGCAAGTCACTGTTCGACGATTTTTTGTCGGTTACTTTCATTTGATAAGACAAACCTATATAAACCCCATGTACATCTCGATTTTTCAAAGAGAAAAATATAGAATTTTTCAGAGAGAAAAATATAGAATTTTTGGGTTCCTTGTTCTCTATCGATATTCATCTTGGAAGCATCCTTCAATTCGTTAGGTTCGGGTTCTGCAACTTGAACGGATTGTTGAATCATCTAGTCAGACGTCCAAATCTTATGATATGGGGACTGATTTCTACCTAAAAGACGCTACAAATCGTAGGCCTCAATCCACACATTGATCTCCATCAAGTTTGTTGCAATAATCGAGTTAGTGATTCATTTCTCTATCTAGTTTCGATTATGTACACATATACTTACACACACACATAGATATATATAATGCAAATCAAATGCGACCTTCCATACCGTTGAAACCGATGCAACCCTTCTACTTTTAATCCCAACTCTTGAGCTATCCTTATCATTTTCTTTTTTATTTAAATTAAAAATATTAAGGAGGGGTAATGTTGTAATTGAATTCATCAATTTTATTAAATAATATATTTTATAATTTTAGGATAATATTGTAACTGCCATATTTATTCCATTATTTCTTAACTTTTTTGCATTATTTGTAACTTCCATCTTCAACATTATTCTTGTTCATATGCAGGTTTTTAACGACTTTTTATTGAGATTCATCTCAATTACAATATTATTCGTGTTCATCTTCAACATCTTTCGTGTTCATCTGCATATAACAAAGACGATAGTAAGCATATGAAATATCATCGATGTAATCACAAGCAAGATCGTGATCCACAATGCAAGTAGATTGAAGACGATTTCAAGAAGACTCGTTGTGAAATCAACTGCATATCGAAGAAGAAAATGGTGGAAAACATCAAAAAATTTCGACGAAAAGATTAGGGTTTTGAAATTTCAGATTCATTATATAAGAATTTGTATTAGTTAGTAACTTTGAAATCAATTCGAAAAGCTAGTGAAAGAATATGATGAAGGGATGTAATGTGTGCTATTTGGTTTTTATATTTAACAGTGAATGTAATACAGTCCTAAAATCAGACTTTCGAAAGGGAAAAGAAACATGAAATCGCTTCACGTAATCAAAATCAAAGTTCGGGAAGGAAATAAATCCATGAAATCAACATTTGGTAAAAAAGCCTAAGTCAAGATGCATGATCAAGTACACATCTACTTCATATGAAAATAAAATGCATATGATCAAGTATACATATAAAAATAAGATGGACATGATCAAGTATACATCTGTTTCATATATGAAGTTAATAAAAGCCACTCATTTATCATGTATGTATAAAATGTTAGAAGTCGCATATGTATTCTAATTGTTCATATATGCATATATGCATCTGTTACTTGTTCATATATGTAAATGTGCATATTCTGATTGTTCATATATGCATATGCTGATTGTTCATGTATGATGAAACCGTTGAAAATCAAAGTAGCCACCGACAAACAAAGAACTCAGATTAATTAGAAGACTGTGAAATAGGGTTTGTACAAATACGAGTTTTCTTTTTCTTTCCTAAAAAGGTTTTGAAAACATGAGTTTTTTTTCTTTCCTCCTCTTTCACTCCCTTTCCTTACACTTCCTTTCATTCGTAAAAAAGGTTTCGAGAGCACAGCGTAAGAATATACTACTACTTTCCATCCCCAAATCATCTTTTATAAACTTCTTAGTGATAATACTCCTTATAACCCCTATATAATCATCAAATTCATTGTCCCTCCATATGTTCATAATAACCTGTTCCATTAAACCAAAAACCTGCTTAACCAGCTCCAAGAACCTTATGATGGACCAATGGACCTCCCATGTCAGCCTCCTTTGTTCCTTAAATCTATGCTCCAAAAGTAACATACCTTAAATCTCCATACGACAGATCAAACCAGATCATGCAGGTTTTGAATCTAGTCTGCAACCATAACAGCAACTGTTGGAGATAAGTAAACCAACCAGAACAGCAGCAGCCTAAATCCAAATTGTCCCACAACTTCAACTAGCACAACTACAGAAGCATATGAAGACTATGCTGAAAACATAAGATGAACAGATTAACCAATTCTCTAGGACTGAAGAATCTCTGTCTACATCAGAGAACTCGATTATTTGGCCAAAAACGAGGTCTTTCAAATAGAGCAGTAGACTGCCCCAAATGAAACTGTTGTCTCTACTATGGTCTAGAAAAGTTCAAGATACAAGGTGTCAGAAATTTGAAAGCATGACACATTTGAAGTGAGAGATCAAAACAACACCAAAAGTACCGGTTTGCAAGATTGGCTAAAGCAGTGCATACATTGATACCTGAAGCTTGCAAAATTTCCATCAAAATGGAGCTTCCTGAGGAAATTGGAACGGGCTTGCAGCAAGCTGCAATAGTGCCCGTGCCTAAAATTGCTCAAATTGGTGACATGAGTGTATTAGAAGCCGACAAAAAAATGACAGCAACTTAGAGAAGGAATGGTTGCTCAAATTGGTGACATGAGTGTATTAGAAGCCGACAAAAAAATGACAGCAACTTAGAGAAGGAATGGTCTGAAACATACACTCTATACTGCAGATCTATAAGCAAAAATGCAGCAACATTTAAAAAATGTAGATTGAACATGATAGATAACAGGAGTACAAATCAACTGAGAGAAATCGAATCGATAACAACAGAATAGAAGAATGATTCCTATTAACTACAAACAATCGAAGGCTCTCGCCCAAAACAGAACTAAACTGATCGATAAAACCCTAATGACCTAACCCCCTCTTATTTATACTATCCCACTTATTACTACTCTTGCATTACTTGTACTACTGCATTAGGCACGTGTACCCTAGCTTACCATATATGACTATTTGAACCCCCCCCCCCCTACCTAGGGTACAACATCAACCAAATTCTAGTAGATGCATAAAAGGGTCAATAGATTCAGAGAGACCACAACATCAGACATTCTTAGCACCAATACACCAATTCCAGGCTCAAAAGACAGTGAACCACCAACTGGAAGCCAATCATATAAATGAAAGAAGTCGCAAAAAGGTAAACACATTGGTTGGATCGATGATCAACAACCAATATGCTACCATGCCAAAAAAAAAAGCAAGGGTTAGAAGCAAACAAAACGGTAGGAGAACAGAAAAATCTTGGTACACGCTCATTACTCTCCTTCCATGTTGATGAGGCAAACCATGTAACTAATACAAGGGTCGTTTAGTACTTTAGTCAAATAACCACCATTGCAAACCTGGATCTATAGCTCAAGAAACAAAAAAACCTAATCAAGCTTTGTACACCGACCATCATTGTTCACAAAACAACATAAATCTTCCATACCTCAAGTGAGAACCACATTTATTAGTTGCATGCAACATCATTTTGAGCTCGTCGTTGATAATATTTCTATAACGACTATCATACGTAGTTATCAGACAAACCAACTATTTTTGTTATTTCTTTATATCGAGTCAAATACGACTGTGGACATATCTATCTGTATTAAAAATTCTTAATCAATTTCACATGTGCTCGTTATCAATCATTTGAGAGTGAAGAGGAAGCTACAAAATACCTCACATAATTAGCAACCAGTACAAATTCAGGGTCATCATGGTCATCATGAACATCCTTCAAATATGGAGATCATTTAGTTGTCAAAACTCCTCTTATAAGCACATCATCTGCAAGTAATTTTCCAAAGGAACGAGGCTTTCAGATAAATACAGAATATAAAATATCGGTTGTGCATAAACATAATTATCTGCAAGCATTCTTTATATAAGTTAGATGACACACCAGGCCTCTTCAAAAATATGTTAAGAAAAAAAAGCATCCGGACCAACTGCTGAGGACAAACAAGAAACCAAATCTTTGTTGAGATATAGCTAAAGCATTTGCCTATCATCCAAGTAAAATTGGAGATGATTTTACAGAAATCTTTTACATTAGGCATATCTGTCATTCACCCTATGTAATTACCATTGTTATCAATGTAGTTGAGCTCTTGTACAAGCTACTAATGTTACAAGACATCTAGTTGAACATCTCATTTTTTTGGATCGACAACAAGAAAATACAGCTCGTTCATTTACGTGCTATCCTCATTGAAGCATTTCATCAAACACCTAGCAAACAAAACATGTATCACGAGTTTTTCTAATTTTATGCAATAAAAAACAGTTAAGCTTTTTGATCCAAAAATGTAGTATAGATATGCATGAAGTGAGTACAAATCCAATACCAGTATTATGCTTAGTGAACAAACGAAAAATAGAGATCAAACAAGTATTTTACATAGTCCAAGAGGAAACTTCCTTTAATTGTAAAGAACACTTATAGGATTTAAGATATGTCCTGAAATCTAGAAGAGGAACACGACAGATTTCAAAAAGAGGAACGTAACAGGCAATCAGACCCATGAATCAGGACGAAATGTCTTTGTATGCACTCTTTAACTTCTATTTTGAGAAAAAGTTTACATGTCATAGACCCTGACCTTCTGGTAACAGAGCAGTGAGCTTATCAGTCACAAACTCTGACCTTCCTTTCTTTAATGAACCTTAAACAAATATCATGTTTAGAAACACAAGTTCTACTAATACCATTTATATACCTACAAATCTCATAATCACATGATAAGACATAAACGAAGAAACCACTTTCCAGACGGTTAAAATGTCGTATTCTGCTTCGAGCTGTTTAATATAAGTTTGAGGCGTTTGCATAAAATAAATAACAAACGAATGGTTTCACTGTGAACTAAGAAATTATGTGAAAAACAAACACTATGGTGGAGATGATAACATGGGAATGCATCTCACCTTTGGAGACCAAGATTCAAATGTCTATGAACGAGAACAGTCTCCATATGAACAAAAACCATGGAAGAACAAAACGCCATGGAAAAAATATCGATTTAGGTTACAAAACCAAAATCACAAATCAAAAACATACCTCAATTGTTTGAGAAAAGTGGGAGATGGAGATAGCACTTGGAATCTGTATTTGAACAAAAATAGTCTCTATATGAACAAAAACCGTGGAAGAACAAAAACCGTGGAAAAGGTATGGATTTAGGTTACAAAATCAAAATCAAAATCTTTGAGAAAAGTAAGAGATGGAGATAGCTACCTGGAATCTGTATTTGAAAATCAAAGTTTTCCTTCAAATGTTTTCCCATGAATGGTTTCAAAGTTCTATTCCGAGAGATGAGATAATACCGGGAAAATCAAGATGCAGAGTGTGTGAAAGCCGAAAGGTAGGCACAGAGAGCTGATTTGAATCTATCATACGGGACAAAGAAAAGAGTAGACTCGGGGTGTTTGGGATTGTTTTTAAAAACAACTTATTGATTTATTTTGATGTGGCATTGGTAATAAACATTTTTGAGTGATTGGATAAACAACTTATATCGGTGCCAAACCGGTAATAAGGAGTTTTTGAAGAAGTTAAAACCTTCGGACTTATAATAAGTTGATAGGTGCTTTTGTAGAAAAGCATAAGTGGTTTCAAATAAGCAATCCCAAACACCCCTTCAGTATGGTCATTGTTATGTAACATATTTTCAGTATGGTAGAACTTTTTTCAATTGATCATTTTCCAGATCCATTATGTTGTCATTGGGGAAAATATTAATCTTTATCTGATTTCATTTTTGTTCATCGTATCCCGATTATCTAGATCCTCCATCGTTAACCGAGGTCAGTTTGTTCTTCGGTTGTTTTATGTAGTTTTGAGAAATGATTTCATTTGATGTGGCCATCACTAAATGCAGGGACGGACCCAGAAAATTTTCTATACGGTGGCACCATATAATTAATATAATATAATATACATCTAAAAATAATTACAAAAAATATAGTTTTTATGGTACCGATAAACAACTCGTAAACTTGTACCCGACTCGTTTTCATCTTTTGAAAACGGTCAATATATACCCAAAAATAATTACAAAAAATATGTTGAGAAACAACTTCTAAATTTGTCCTCGGCGTGTCTTCATCTTTTGGAAACGATCGATTACATCTTCGTTTTTAACGTTACCAAGGGCTTCCTTTTCTATGGAGCAAATGAGGGCAGAATTCAAAAAATCATCACCAATTCGATTACGTAAATCTGTCTTGACAAGCTTCATCGCCGAAAAGCATCTTTCAACCGTAGCAGTTGCAACAGGCAAAACCAGTGTCAGTTTCAATAACCGGTAGACTAAAGGATGAGAAAGATGCTTTCTTGTTGCAACCATTAATCTGGCGAGGTCGGCAATACCGTTTAAGTTGGCAAATCTGACATCATTATAAACAGAATGATGGTAGATATCAAGTTCATGCTCAAGAATGATCCTTTCCTTGTCTTCAAAATCTCGAGGATACATCTGACTCAACTTCAAGAAGCTTGATTTGTTAAACTGAGAAAACGAATTGCGTGGATTCAAAGCCGCCATATTTTGAAGCAAGTCGGTGCTTATCTCACCAAAACGATCACCAAACTCTCGGATCTGCATATCCAAAACAGTGTTGAATATATCATAGTTATAATAATGTTGATTGGTAATGTTCGTCTTTTTCCTTGAATTTCTTGTATTAACATAAGCTTCAGCCATATCCAACTTCACAATCTTATGTTTATCACAAAAAGAGTAGCATTTCTCCAAAACTTGATCAAACCCATTTTCCCTCAACATTTGTAATTGACCTTTGGTTGTTCCTATCAAATCAATAGCTTCCAATATGTCTTCATCTTTCCTTTGAAGAGCTTGAGACAATGAATTTGTTAATCCTAAGATCGTTGAATTCAAGTGCATATAAAACACAAATTCAAATGTCTTTAAGTATGATAGAAGACCTCTTGCTTGAAGCCGACTAGCTCCATTATCTCCATCATCTTCGACATATTCAAGCACCTGTATGACCTCTGGAAACAAAGCAATCAAACTCACGATTGTTTTAAGATGAGAATTCCRTCGTGTATCTCCAGCTCGAACAAGGGAAATCTCTTGGTTTAACCCCTTACCAGTCTCAATCTCCCCATTTCCAATTTCTTCTTGAATTCTCTCTTTRTGAGTTTCTCGTAGCATATCTTTTCGTTTGCAAGAAGAGTTTACAACAGTAACAACCAAAGCAAGCAAATCAAAGAAGTCTTTAACACCTTCGTGTTTTTTTGCAACCGCCACAACTACTAATTGAAGTTGATGGGCAAAACAATGTATATAAAATGCCAAGTCATTATCACTCAAGATCAAAGCTTTCAACCCATTGAACTTACCACTCATGTTGCTAGCACCGTCATAACCTTGTCCTCTTACCTATTTTAAAGATAAATTAAGCTATTTAGCCAAATATTCAATGATATAATTAAGACTTAAAAGCAAATAAATTATTAAGAAATCTTTTTACCTTTGTGAAACTTAATCCATGTTTTGCAAATAAAGCATCCAACACAGATTTAAGACTTATAGCAGATGTATCCATGACATGAACAATGCCAACAAATCTTTCTTGAACAACTCCGACTTTGTCAACAAACCTCAAAACCACGGCCATTTGTTCTTTTCTAGAGACATCACTAGACTCATCCACCAACAAAGCAAATACATCATCACCAATTTCCCCAATAACGTCTTTCAACACCTCTTCTCCAAAGCAAGTAACGAGATCTTTTTGAATMTTTGGAGATGTCAATTGATTGTTCTTCGGGGCATTTTGTAATATAACCTTTTCAATCTCCCCATTTGTTCTTCCGATTAACTTTAAAGTCCCCAAGAAAAGCCCTTTGTACATAGACTTTTCCGACTCATCATTGCCACGAAATGGTAAAGCATTCTCCAACAAATATCTACAAACTTCAACGGAAGCATTCAATCGCATGTGGTACTCGGTCTTTTGGAGTTCTGTTTGTTTACGAAGGGCAACCGCAATTGATTGGTTTTGGTTAACCAAATCTTCGCATTTTTTAAGTGCTTTGTGGTGAAAACTATTAACCTCACCCTCATGAAGYGTAAGTCTATCTTTTTTACTCCAACTATTAAATYCRTCCGCCACAAATGCATCTATCCCATGATTCCCACCTTGGTCTCTGAACAAGTAACAAGGCAAACAATATGCTCTATCTACTTTTATATTATATTCCAACCACTGAAATTGATCAAACCAAGTAACAACAAACCGTCGCCCTTTAGCCCCTATAACTTTGGTTGGAAAGATGTGACCTCGTGGTTGACAAGGACCCCTTACCAAGTATTTCCGTCTAATTTCGTCTCTTTGATTTGGATTATAACTTATAATTTTGGGTTAGTGGTTACACGATTGAAACTAAGAAATTAGAAGAAACAGCAGCAGTTTGTTGCTATTAATTTTTTATATGGAAATATTATAGATGTTTCTGATTTCCTTATTTGGGTTAGTGGTTACACGAACAAATTGAATAACATTGGGGTGTGTTATGTAACAGACCAAATTTGAGCTGAAGAGATTTGCAAGCTTCGTGAGGTTCTAACAAGTTCTGGGATGTTTATCTACAAGTCCAAAGTACTATTTTAGGGAGCATGTAAATTTTCTTAAGGTAAGATCAAGACTTTCGTGGCTGCGGTCCAGCATCTCTTTTCCACCTTCGACGTCAATTTCGTCTTAGAAGCCGCCCGAATCTGCAGAAACTCAAAACCTAAAAGTTGTGGGGTTGTTTGTTAGATTTCAATATCATCTTGAATAACTTAAATCCGAGCTCGAATGAGTTAGATATGCTCGAAATACTGTAGTCTCGTAAAGCTGTCAAAAATTCCTCTTTTTGTCCCTTTTTCGCTCCAAATTGTTCCGAACCTATCGACATACAAAAACGCATCAATTTGTTCAGTTTTACCGTTTTAGTATGTTAAAGAGGGATGTTTGATGTGAAAATAAGGTAGCATTTAGCGACGAATCACCTGCTATTGGTATGAGTAAAACAGTACTTTAGTCATCCCATGAAAATTGCAAGGCTTGTATGGACCCAAAGTGGAGCAAGTAGCCGACCATACAAGAACGATGCAAGAAGCACAAGAGAAGGCATACTTGCTTGGAATAGTTGTATGTAACTTATTTTATTTATGGAGAGAACAGATCCCGGAAATTTTAGAACTTATATATATATATATATATATATATATATATTTGCAGCGGGTTTTAAAGGATCCACGTGTTCCTCCAACATAAATATGTGTATGTGTATATATATACACAAATTTATATTTATGTTGGGGGAATACATGTACCCTTTAAAACACCCAATAAAATGCAATATTTAGGTTAAGGTTTTAAAGAAGACATTAATTGATAAACTAAGAAGAAAAGAAAAAGGTCTATTTGTGCATGATTCTGATTTTCCAAAACTTGTTCATACACACACACACTCTAGTTCTAGAAGCCAACTTCAGTTCCTTAAATCAATAACTATGACGCTGATGTTATCGGTACTCCTACGTCCCAAAGCAAGACGTACCAGCAACGTTGCTGCTGAATCTATCTGAGGCTCTACGTCGTGCTCATGTTCTACAAAACAGTCGTGAACTATCTTGCATGCCAATTCGCTCGACAAAACATCCCATAATCCATCACTACCTACTATCAAACACTCGTCTCCTGCTTCTCTTCTCGTTATCGAGATTTCTGGTTCAGATGTCACCCACTGTTTTAGAAGCCTGTCTCCTGTTTCATTTGTACACAAACATCAACAAATCTCCCTCTTTTAAAGATATTACAAGCATGCTGCAAACAAACTATATATATATATATATATATATATATATATATGGAGTTTGAGATAACCTATTGCTCGGGACATGCCAAGGATGCCTTCAACTCGTGCTCCGTCTGCAAACATGATTCGCCCTCCACAAGCTTCGATTCTTGCACGTTCGTCTTCCCTATCAGGCTGAAGCAACATACATGATACGTATCTGTTATATGAACATATATACATATGCATGTTTAGTTCATTTTTCTTGAGTTTTAGTCATTCGACTGCACGCAAACATTTACACTAGTTCATGATAAGTCCGGTACCATAACAGTAGTTCTAACATAATGTTGAATTGAAAAAGGGAGCGTTATTTAAACCTTATGGTCTATGGAAAGCGGTACGGGCCTGCCGTTACGACAGAGGACGGCACGTGAGTCCCCGCAGTTCGCCACAAATACGTACTCCTTTGTGAGAATCGACACCACCGCTGTCGATCCCATGAAAGACAACCGTGGACTGCATCTACAGATGCTGGAACTACCACAGAGACACAATCTCAACGCCATTTCATCCATCCTCTGAAAACTCCGGTTGATGGCTGTCCTCCATAGCCCTCCACCTCCCTCACCACCATTTGTCTCGCCTTCGATCACCTTCGCCTGCATCAACTCCTCCTCCATGATAACATGCATGCTCTCTTTACACAATGCAGATACCTGCTCCAGATATTTAATTGTAACTAAAAATTAAAAAACTAAAATCATCAATAGGTTGTTTTTGGAACCCATCGGGATAAAATAAAGGTTTTAAGTTCGAATTCCGAGTTGGGTTTTCAAGAATTTTATCTATTCGAGCATGATTTTTGGAGTTTGTTTGCAAGTACCGATCGACAGAAACGCTCTCACATATGACCAGATCCGTTCCTGACATTTTATAGGTTTTGGATGAACGTAAAAGCAGGGCTCACTGCAAGAAGCAAGACTTTTAGCAACGAATTTTTCGTCGCTAAAAGTTCATTTATCATCAAAAAGAGTATATAACAATAATATATTGTCGTTATAACTTGTGGCGGAAACATGTCATTGCTAAAAGAGGAATCGTCAGAACTCACTTTTCTTTAGTGACACTTGGTAAGTACGAAAAAATTCAATAAATATTTTTCATTAATATAAAATTATGTACAAGAAATGCTAATAATTTAGTGAGTAAATAAATCTTATATATATTTATTATAGATATATAAGATACGTACTTCTTATTAGGTAATTTGAAACCAGGGGTATAAAAACTATGGTTGATAAATTTTTATAAAAAATAAGAATTTTTTTAGGTCATAACAAGAAATATGTGTTATTTTGATACAAAAAGAGAATTCATGTAAATAAAATAATCATAAGAGTCAATAAACGATCAATAATAGAAAAGATTATCAAGGTTTTTTAGACAAGTATACAAATGATGATCAATAAAAATATGGAAGACAAAATGATCCAATGAATCGAATAAGAACAAATAATAAATTAAGCATATAATTTGCAAGCTCCACAAATGGTTGTATGAAGACTTAAAAGTAGAATATTGTGTTGTGGTGGAATTCATAAAGTCAAACAATTGATGAAAATATTAAAAAAAAAATTTACTCAACTAAAATAAGATGTTAAAATTAAAAGTTTATTGAATATGATATATATAAGAGACATTACTAAATACATCTAGTAAAGAAAATTTATTGATTAATCACAAAACCATGAAACACGTCATAAATCATAAGAACAATAAATTGATTGTCAAATAATAGTAAAACATTTTCTATTGAAGCAAAAATAGATAATAACAGACAAGAAAAACAATTAGAACAACAAAATCAAATAGCAATAATCAATAGAAGCAGAAATAAAAAAAAATATAAAGCAAAAATATATAACAATAACAAACACCTGATCTTAATATTGAATTGTTGAAGCACGAAAACAATCAAACATATAAAGATAGCAATAACCAAAATCATTGGACCTTATTTAATTAAAATATAAAAAATTAGACAAACAATTAACTAATTATATCGAAGAACAAATTAAAAAAATATAATTAGTTAATATATTTTTAGATCCTAATTATCTACTAAATTCCAGGTAAAATTTGGAGTCTCATATTTTTGGACCCGGCGGCCGCCCTCCGACGGACGGCCTGCTGACGACAAGTTTGTCAAAATCATTGAGCACAGATCTGCAATTTCAGTAGGTGTTGCTTATTGAAAATGTGAAATTAAATGTAAAAGAAGCGAGGTTTACGTGACGCCCTCCGTGACCATCGAACACACCGAAGAAATGCACCGGTCGGAAGCCGTTGATCTCCGGCCGACATAAGTTCGTCTTAACAGAAACTTCATCCTCCATTTCACGCTGTCTACCAATCACGGACATCATCCCATACACCGGCGGTGGCGGCGTCTCCATGATGTTAATCAAGCTCATGATCGAAGCAGCCGTTATGGAAGTCGTCGGCTTGTCCCCCGACGTCGTCTTCGCCACATCCTTCTGACCTTCGTTTTCCCCGACGACAAGTGACGAACCAGAGGCGTCGGCAGCAACCGCAGCCATCCTCCTGATAGCGATCCTCCGACGGCGTCGCTCACGGCATTTCACCGAAGAATCCTCATCCTCGTTGCTCACCATCACACTCTTCCGACTACCGTAAACCCGCTTCATTATCGATCAGCAGCAGCGTTTCGACAACATCAAAGCCTTGAATCATCTCTCAAGATTCTTCATCGATCAACAAGATGAAAGCTTTCAATCATCTCTAAGAAAAAAAGGGGGGAGGAATATTGCAAGACACGTGTCAATTGGAAATAGAGTGGGAGTTGATGCGACAGGCAAAGTGATGGATCTGTCGTGGAAGAATCTGAGGGAGCCAGCTCTACGCAGGGTCTCGCTTGTTATCAACTTAACCAACTAACCGACCTTGAGGTTGTAGGATGTTGCCACGTGGAAGATGTGATGTTATGAGGTTCTTGGAAGAGGATTCATTGAATATATTCGAAAATGGTGAGAGGTGACATGTGCCAGTTGAAAAATGAGTAAAGCTAAGGTCAAGAGTCACATGTGGTCCAACCACGGTTACCACGTCATCGGTTTTAAGAGACAGTTTGGTCCCACTTCACTTGCTTTGCTCCATTTTCTACTTTTCTTTTCCCATGCAATTAATGTGAGTTTATTACGAACAAGAATACCTTAATAGTTTTATTAGAAGACAGTCTTTGAATCGATAAAAAATGAATTTTATTTGGCAAAAAAAAATCTGCATCTTAATGGTTTTAAAACCCTCTGAATGATTTTATATCATGCGTCTCCTTTAACCATAAACGTCTTAATTTCATTGTAAATAATTATCAAACAATTACATTTCATTTTGTTATATATCATGAGAGTCTCTTAATCATTTTAATCACTTAATCATTCTGCACCAAACAACCTCTACATCTTTCGTGTTATAATAAATATTTATAATAAAAAAAATACAGAATTTTGAAATATCAATATTTTTTAATTAACTTAATAACAATGATTAGTTTATATGTCTTATGATTAAAGACAATTGAAAAATAAACTTCTATTAACTTATTTCGGGTGTGATATCAGTAATAAAGAGTTTTTAGTGTTTGGATAGGAAAAAAGATATTTATCAACTTACTACATTTTGATATTGTTATAAACTAATCCAAACATTTTTTTTATAAAACTCCGATTTAACACTACATAAGCTTATAAACACTTAAAAAAAAATAACATAAGTATTTTAAATAAGCAATCCTAAACACCCGTTAATATGATATTGAAGTGGTAGATATTTTTCAGTTCCTTTTCTTCAAATTAATTATTGATAGTAGGTTATATGATTTAAATTAGATAAAATAAAAGATATATCAGTTTAATTTTTTTATTGATGAAATTAAATGTGTTATATTTTTAATAACGTTTTTTTTTTCTAAGCATGTATTGGAATGATTAATTTAGAAACATATAAAATATTTTATTGGAATTGGTAAAATAAATTTAATTAAATTTTAAATATTTAATGGTAAATTAAATTGTAAAAAAACATGTAATTGATTTAAGGCATGATAATGAGACACGTTTCTAGGTTCTAAATATCCACTCCAGTAATGCTTAAGCAATGATTTGAATAATACGGCCCCTCCACTTTTGTTAATACATTATTTTTGAGACACTTTAATCATCACGTTTATTACCTCCAAAGCATAAGACTATAATAATATAAAATTTTAAAACAATATTAAATACAATATATGTATAGGTGTGTATATATGTATATATATATGTGTAATATATATATATATATATATATATATATATATAGGGACAGGTTCAAATGAAAACCATGTCATTCTAAAAAACCGTGTAAACCAAAATCGATCAATAAGAAAATTCCATTCTTTTTTAATTAAATTTAATCAATAAGGTCATTTTGGTCATTTTTTTATTTTTTTTTATAAATAAGGAAGTTATTAAGGAATATTAAATAAGGAAATTTAATAATGGAAATTATATAAATAGAATGATTTAAAGATTTTAATATTTTATAATATTAAAAATTGATTTTTTTTTTATTCAATGAAGCTGGAAACATTAATGAAGATTTTATCTTGTTATGTAATGAATGCATAATTTGAGGTTCATTGTATCAAAAATTACCGGTTATGAACCTATTTCATATGAAAAGGTTTTAAAATGAAAATGTTTCATATTACCATAGCATAATATATTAATGTTCATATGAAAATGTTTCATTACGAAGAAACGGTTGCATATTATATTAAATGCATAATGAAAATGTTTCATAATGATGAAGCATGTTCATAATCAAACTGTTTCATAATGAAAAGGTTCATATGGGGCAAATTTCATGAAACTGTTTCATAATGAAAAGGTTCATATGGGGCAAATTTCATGAAACTGTTTCATAATGAAAAGGTTCATAATGATGAAGCATGTTCATGATCTAATACTCTAGGCATATTGTCCAAATTAATATTCTAGGCATATTATCCACTTTAATGAAAAGGTTTCATGAAACTGTTTCATAATGAAAAGGTWCATAATGATGAATCATGTTCATATGAGTGGAATAAGRAAAATGAACTATTGAYRCAACKGTTTCATCAAACGTTTCAAAACAGTTGAAAAATCGAAACAAATAATCTCTCTATTTCCTAATGAAAATATTGTAATGAATAGTTTCATAAACAAAGTTCAAAAAACAATGGTCATGAAACTGTTTCAATGTTAAAATGTTTCATTGTAAAATGGTTTATTTGCTCCGTCTATGCATATTATACGTGTTAATGAAATAGGTGCTTTGTGATTGAAGTTTCATGGTTATCCTTGTTGCTTTGTGATTGAATGTACATCTAGGTTCATGGTGATCCATGTTGCTTTGTGATTGAAGTTGATCCGTTTAGTTGGTAGGATGAAAATGAAACAGGTGCGTAATGTATTGTGTTCTTTTATGAAATAAATATATGATGAAACGGGTGCATGTTATATTTTGTTCTTTATGGAACTAATGTTAATGTGAAAATGTTTCATTATAAAATGGTTCATTGATGTTATATTAATGTTAACTTTTGTTTATGGAATTAATGTTATATTGATGTTAACTTTTGTTTATGGAATTAATGTTATATTGATGTTAACTTTTGTTTACCAATTTGCCCTTATCATTGAAATAAAATAATTTTTTAATATTTTTTATTTTTTAATTTCTTAAAATAAAGTAAACTAATCTTAGCCATTGATCAAGAAAATGGACGGATGAGATTGGTTTACACGGTTTACACAAATGGGGCAAGTTTTTATTTGAACGCTCATATATATATATATATATATATATATATATATATATATATATATATAGACTTGGGATCATGTGAGACCAGTCTGTTTTTGTGAGACCCGTGAGACCAACATTTTACACTTGAAACTTCACTGTAAAAAATTAAACTTCACAACATTTTACCCATGAGAAAGAAGATGGTGGAAACCAAGATGATAGTCTTCATCTTGGAAATTAAACGCAGTTGCTAGAGGATCAGATGATTGTAATTATAGGTGGGTTTGGTCTGGGGGTCAATTAAATAGGTAGGAGCTAGGGAGTTGAACTGGGTTAAGAGTCAATTTATTATAATACACCAGATGATTAAAATACAGATCATCTTTGGTTAGGTTAAGTTTTCCTTTTCATTATCGCGAAAAATACATCAAAATTCAACAAAGTTTGTAAGGTTATGTTTGCAACCCCCTCTTGGCTTCTATACTGCTTATTCAGTATAAGCAGTGTATCCTGATCTACATTTATCTCTTTACTTAGCCGATACAAGAGACTCTTAGTTTCCGTCATGACCTTAGATAGTCAGATGATCCTTTTATTGGGAATTCATAAAATAATGCCATCAACTTCAATCATGCTGCTACCTGCTCTACAATATGATACTTCCATACACGTTTAATAATACAACCATTCAATCCAATCACTTTCTTGTGTCCACCCATACTTCAATCTTTTAACCTCTTAAAACACATATAAAACCTACTAAAATAATTCTTTCCCATCAGGCATACTATTCACATCCGTATAACTTTGAAAACATCTATAAAAACCATTCAGCATTTTACATGCTTTTTAGTCATAAACACCCAAATACAGAACCAGCAATCGGTTGACATGAAATTGCAAGTTTCACAAGGAAGGAGGCAAACGAGGAAGAGCATATAAGTGGAGTCCTTTGTCCATATGAAGGGTGAACATGGTTCTATACGTAGCTTCCTTATTCTCATCCACCAGTTGAAACTTGAAAAAGAACACAAGAAAAGCTGCCATTATTTTCATCTGCCTGTATGCAAACTCCTTCCCTAAGCATATTCTTGGCCCACCCTATAAGATGCATTTAATCAACAAATATGTGGATGCTTATATATCAAGTCATCAGACTGTCATGTTATATACCTGAAAGGCAGGAAACTTGAATGGACTTTCAGGCTGGAAAATGCCATCACAGAGCCATCTTTCTGGCCGGAATTCCTCGGCATCTTCTCCCCAAATGTATGTCATCCTTCCCATCGGATACGCCATGTAACTTATACCATCTCCTTTCTTTATTTTGAACCCATCCGGTAGAATATCATCTTTCTCTGAAAACTTGCCGTCCTAAACAACAGTTACAAGAATTAAAGCAAGGACGAGTGACTAATATAATAAGATATGCCCAATATTACCAGAGGAACAGCAGGATAGAGTCTCAGAGTCTCGGTTAAAGCTGCATAAAGATAATGCATTTTGTCGAGGGCAGCTTCAGTTAACTTGTGGGAGAATTCGTCGATTGAATACGTATGCTCTGCTCCGGTGGCTTCTTTCACTTCTAATGCAACTTTTTCTTGAACCATATTGTGTTTACAGAGCATGTAAAAGAACCAAGTGAGCGTGTTTGCTGATGTGTCCTTCCCGGCAATGATGAAACTAAGTGATATGTCTCTCAAGTATTGATCACTCAAATTTGCAGGATTCTTCTCGCTCTCGATCAGAAATCTCGATAATATATCGTCTTTTTGTCCCTGTTTTTCAGAAAAAGGAAGTGTATCAAAGCATGTAAGCCTCACTGTAAAAAGTAGGAAATTCATCATTTCTGATGAGACTCACATCAAATTTCCCATTTTTCATCTGCTCCCTCTTGTGGTTTATCAATTCATACACAAAGTTATTGATCACCCTGATGTTTGTCTTTAACGCAGCTTCCGAGCCGATGTTGAGATACCTTTTCACCCTCCATAATAGGTCAACATATCGCCAGAAGATGATACAATTTGAATCATCAAATGCTTTCATAAACCGATTACTGACCTCATCTGAACCTGATAAAGTATTAAGATCAAACCCAAATCCCACCTTGAATATCGAATCCAAAGTTGATTTCATCAAAAGATCCTACAAAGAAGAAAGGTATTATTCTATTGCAGCTTTATCCAAATTGTACATGTCATCATTTTATGAGCCCACGATACCTGTAAAAAAATAATTTGCTTATGGACAGATGCTTCTGAAACCTTTGTCACCAGCTTAGCAGTGTTAGACCTGAAAACAGCAGTACTAAAATCTCTGAGAACTTTAGTTGAGAACTCAAAACTTGCTAGCTTCCGCTGGTGACGCCATATATCTCCATCTGCTGCAAATATCCCATTGCCGAAAAGATCTCCCATTATCCCTTTGTGGTAATCCCCCTGTAAACACCACCACCAAAGTACAAAAGATGTCAATAATTATTTTCCAGATGACCCAAAACCACACCTGGTGAAACTTTTACCACCCATCCATTCACATACATAATCCCTTCATCCCCAGCAACCCAAAAAAACCAAAAAGGAATTAAACAAGATCAGCATACCTTGGTATAGTTTGGGAAGTTGGTTTTAAGAACATGTTCGACATTAATAGGATCAGCAATATAGACTTCACTGTGTGTTGGTGTGACAAAACGGAAAGTGTGGTGCTTCCTAGCAATCAAGGTCATATAATCGAAAAGGTGGTTGAAGTGCATCAGCATATTCATAGTCGACCCTACTACCGGCGGCCGGTGGTCATTTGACATCAATTCTTGGAAGTAAGGTACATATAAGGCAGACAAGAGTCCAATCACAGACAAAAGTACGAGTCCAACAAGTGTTAGCATGAAGGACGCTGAAAAGTAGAACCCCGTGAGGGAGATGGTGGAAACCAAGAGAGTCTTCATCATGGAGAGTAAACACACTTGCTAGAGGATCAGATGGTTGTGATCATGGGTGGGTTTGTTTTAGTGGTAGGGGTCAATTAAATTGGTAGGAGCTTAGGAGGTAAACTGGGTCAAGAGTTAAATTATTATTTACCAGATAATCAAAGAGAAGTGCATGAGACGGCACCTTGATTGTTTAAAAACTCAACATAAGTAATTCTTATAAGCGGAAATTAGTTTTTTTTTAAACCATGATAGTAACACTTTTTATCCACCTTGTTTATGACGATTCATGCAAATGTCTCTTTCATAAAAACCCAAAAAATAGTCGTGACCCATTTAGAAAAATGCCACACAAGAGTTGAAACATAGGTTTCCTAACACAAGTTTGTCTGAACTTAGATCCTTCGGCAAGAGATTAATTGCAATCATAACAGTGACATAAACAATTTTGAAGAAAAAATGGAAAATCGTATTTATTTTTTGACCTTGAGTCAAAGGTATAGTTTTTTTATAATCATGATTGATAAGAAATTGTTTTAGTTACATAAAAAAAATTATAACTAGATAAAGCAATGAAAAGAGTAGTAGAATAGGAAAACTTTAAACTAAAATAACATCAATGAAAGTTCTAATTTTGAAAATTCAAAGTAGACACAACCACGTGATGGACTTATTTTTTGCCATGAAAAAAATGAGGAAAATACAAGGCTGATGATGAAGACGTCAGAGTTTAAAAGGTTACAAAGGGTATCGGTCAACATCGTAGCATTATCATAAAGCTTTCCCTATATCTCCCAAAATTGTTTATTCACTGCTATAAAAATCAAATACATCTATTCTGGTATGTACGTATATAAGTTGCAGCAAAAGTTCAAGCTTGAATTATCCATGGATGTTGCTAAACATACCCCTTTTGGATCAAAATGGGGTCAATTATGAATTGAAAATGTAAAATAGAGGGTTGGATGTTGATTTGAGAGTATGATATTGGTAGGACAGTTTATTTAACCACGTACAGTACACATGCTTCTATTCTAGTAGCACTGGAAGATATAATATGAACCTCACTATATCTTAAAATGGCATGTATAGAGATAATTTTATCTGTTTACCTTGACAAATAGTCTTGGTTTTGCCTTCTCATATCTCTTCCCCACGAGCAAACTGCCTGCCAATCCATGAAGATGAACTTATCAAGTTATTAGTTTTTGTGCATAAACTTGGTAAAAAAACAGACTGGATGAGTCTCTTCTCCTCACATGGTAAACTTGGCTCAATGTCAACACCGAATGGTGACTGTAAAATGGTGAATGTAGATGATAAAATAGACAATTTGCTATAAATTCAAACAAATGTCACTGTGCAGCATGCAACCCCTTCTTGGCTTCTCTACTGCTTATTCAGTATAAGTAACGTATCCTGATCTACCTTCATCACTTCAGTTAGCTGATATAAGAGACTCTTAGTCTCCTCCACCAGGACTTCAGATGACCCTTTTATTGAGAATTCATAAATAATGCCATCAACTTCAATCATGCTGCTACCTGGCATATCCTTCTTGATCCCTCTGTCATTCATAAGAGCCCTAGTATTCTCCAAATCATCAAATTTACCCGCCTTGGCATGTATATCACATAATGTGAAATAAAAAACATGATTTAGAGGCTGCAAACTGATCAAATGTTTAGCAACCTTTTCTCCAAGCTCTACATTGCCATGCATTTGACAGGCACCAAGTAATGCACCCCAGACAAAAACATCTGGATCTATGGGCATACTGGCAATAAGCCTATTGGCCTCATCGAAAAGTCCTGCTCGACCAAGAATATCAACCATGCAAGCATAATGTTGGACCGTTGGGTCAATCAGATAAACACTTTTCATAATGTTGAAATACCAACGACTCCTCTCTATCAAACCCAAATGAGCACATGCTGTCAATAATGCACCAAAAGTTACTGGATTGGGTCTCAGTCCACATGCAACCATCTCATCGAAAAGATCAAAGGCCTCATTGCCATACCCATGAAGAGCATACACTGAGATCATTGATGTCCAAGCCAAAACATCCTTCTTGGGAAAATCCTTAAAAACCCTTTTCGCCATATCTACATTTCCACATTTGCCATACATGTCCACCATCGCTGTTCTAGTTACCATGTCACACTCTATCCCATTTCTCAACATGTAACCATGCACCCACTTGCCATGATCAAGCCACCCTAGCGACGCACAAGCTGAAATTGCACTAGCTAAGGTGATTTTATCAGGGTAAATCATGTCCTCCCTTGATACAAGCATTTCTTTGAAATATTCAATGGCCTCCTTTGGTCTAGCCCCCTGAACCATTCCAGTGATCACAGAGTTCCAAGTAATGATATTTTTCTTATCCATCCTCGTAAACAAGTCAAGTGCCATATCAAGCTCCGCACTTCTTAAACACCCAATAATAATTGAATTCCAAGATACAATATCCCTTTTAGACATTTCATCGAATACATTGCACGCATATGTCAAAACCCCACATGCAAAATAAAAACCAATCATAGAATTTCCCACATACACATCATGGTGAAGCCCAAACTTAACTGAATGAGCATGAATGCTCTGGCCCACCACAAAATAAAATCTGCTCCCACATTCCTTCAAGAGGAAGGGGATAGTAATAGAATCCGGTACAATGCAATTCAACAACATTTGCTTATACAAAACCAAGGAGTGTGGTTTATGGTCCTTGTTACTGAATTGACAAGAATATGCTCTGATCATGGCATTGTATATAGGGAGATTAGGGTTGTCAGTGACTCGAAAAACACGAGAAGCGTAAGTGAGAGATCCAGAACAGGAAACCGCACAGAAGAAGATGAGACGAGAAATTAGGAAGAGATTATCAGATTTTGAGAAATATGGTGATGTTATGATCTGAGAATGAATCTGTTTAAGCTCCCTCATTTTCTTGCAGTCATCAAGTAAGCGTGCCATTGATTTCAATAATCTGCGTGATTCCATTATCGGTCAAGAAAAGGAAGATTCACAAAACGGTAAACAAAAGGATACTACTTTAATTTGTTAAGTATATAAATTTTATTTTATTTTTTAAATATTATTTTTAATTAGCATTTTTAATAGTTTTTTATTTTTTATTATAGTTTGTGAAATTTTATTTTCCATACACGTTCATACGTTTATTACTATGGTAAACTAAAAACAAGGAGTCTTATTTTTATCAATAAAAATTTAAATAAGACTTTATATTTTAACATCACTTAAAAACAAACATCTAAATAATTATTTATACTACCTTATAAACTAAATTTATCAAAAGTCTTAAAAATAATTTTTAACGCATAAAGTATTATACATTTATGTACAAAGTCTTAAAAACAACTTATAATGCATTAAGTACTACTACTTTATACATGTAGTCTTAAAATCTCTTAATCTACAATTAAAATAGCATATAGTACAAGTTACCAATGCATATTATTACTTTTTCTTTTCATGTTCTCAATATACTTTTGAAATATTTCATCCGTTTTCATCCTCTCATACCTCTATGTCTTCTATCCATCTCTCAATGTGAGATTCAAATTGATATACACCATGAGTTATTAAAAGTTATCTCATTCATCTCTCATTCAATTGCTCTAGAACTCTCGCTCTCGATCTCTTGATTCTTTGCTTTTGGTGTAAATCGAACACATTTGTGGAGTCGTTTAAATATATTGGATTTTAAACTGTCATACAATTTTTTTCATCGATAGACTGTAATTGGAACCATAATTCTTATTTATTCAAATTGTATTAATATGTAAACACCAAGGTGTAATTTATATCACCGTTAAATCTTCTCTAATAAAACCAATGAAACTTCAAAATCGTTAAAATTCAAGGCTCCCGTCGTATTGCGCAGCGCGAGGACACAACTAGTCAATATACATGTTCTTCTTTATCCACCGGTATAATGTAAAATGTCTTATTTATATGACAATGGAAAAATGAAATCTTTTTGAAGACCAACATAAGAGCATTTTGTTTCCCATTATTACGGGTTTGACCTCCCTATCAGTTGTGTCGTTTTTTTTTAAATATTTGTCGCCAAAAGTATTTATTTATCTGTTAAAAATAACATACAGTCGGCTATTTAAAAGTCGATGCAAGTTGAGTTCGTTTCAAACTTTTGTTGCAAATATTTTTACAAACATGTTGAATTTTTTTGAAATTCTCATGTCAAAGATGGATGGATTTCTCAATTCTGATGTTCACTTATAACTTCTTTTATGAAATACGAAAGGGATCATAATATCATATCCGATTAACGATAAAAAAAAAACTGATAACATAATATAATAAGATTTCATTGAATTTGTTCTTTATTGATTAATCGAAAAGTTCATAGGCCGATGAGATGATAACGTTAAAAACCGGAACCGTATTTGCCAGTTAGAGTAAAAATATTTAAATTGTTTTACCAACTTGACCATCCATCATCACATTTCTCCATATATTAAAAAAAATAGCTTTTAGATCGTTTACAACATGTTATTTGATGAAAATGTTTTTAAGAGCATCTCTAATTAACAGTTATACTATAATTCTTCAAAAATAGAGAGTATCAGAGCATCTTCAACAGCTTTTTTAAAATAAAAAAAAAATAAGTTTTTGTTCTCTAAAATGCTTCAACAGTTTTGCTATCTTGTTCTTCAAAATAGAGAATTATGGAGAAATTTCTAAATATAGACAATTCTCTAAAACTTGATGGTGGGAGAGAGAAATGATTATTTTATTCAATTCCACCAATGAGATTGAGTTATTATTTTTTATAAAAAGTTTTTTTTTAATATATTGGGATGATAAATTAGAGAACACTATAATAATATAATTCATGTTAAAATCTCTAAAATAGAGAATCTATTGGAGATGAATGTAAATTTTTTTAGAAAATTTATGTTTTGATTCTCTGTTTTAGAAAAATTATAGAAAAAGTTGTTCAAAAGTAAAAATCTATAAAACGTTACATCTAACTCAAATAGCTACTTTATTTTAGCAATTATATCATTAATTATATTATTAAAATATTTAATATATTAATAAAATCCTAAACATTTGACTTCAATGTCTTTAAATATTATTTCTCTCTCTTAACTATGGAGTTTTAGAGATTTCTCCAAATTTAGAGATTTATGTCTCCTATCTATTTTTGTCTATTTTAGCATATAATATAACATAGTTATTGGAGATGCTCTAAGTATCCGATGATATCATTACAAACTATTGATAAGATTGATTATCAACTCCCGACACTATCTACCAAAAATTGATATATTTTAAGAGAGAGTTGCTATTCATACCCGTAGGGGTTATGCATATAATTTGGCCATTTTTAAGAATAGTGTTTCATCTCTAAAATCTTTATTTTAATATAACAGTTGAAAATACTGTTAGGGCACAAAATAGAAAACTGTTGTACTTAATAGTTAATTACTTACCTGAAAGGTAGTATATTAAGAAACCATCTTTCTGGTCGGAATTATTTTGTATCTTCTGTCATAATATATGTCATAATAAATGGTACCATCACCTTTCTTTTTATTTTGACCCCATCTGGTAGAATGTCGTCTTTCTCTAAACACTTGTCGACCTTAACGGTAATCACTACTACTAATAAATAAACAAATAAGAAAAACCAATAAGCCTTCTAATAAAAATTGAAATACTACGGGTTTGTTTACCGAATACTTATCAGGTAAGTGCTTACCAGCAAGAGTCATCACCCTCACTTACCTTATCGATTAACATTCTCGACCATCAAAATGGATTGCGGTAAGCGTCTTTTACCCGGTAAGCGCTTACCAGGTTAGAGTATTCTCCATCACTTATCAAGTAAGATTTTTAGCCCTTGTTATGCCTCTTACCGGATAAGATTCTCGGTTTATGTCATGCTCATTTGGTAAGGTAAGTGACACCCAATAAACACTTACCTCTTTTTAGAATGTTTTAAAAAGCTGTTATATTAAAAAAAGTCAAGCTCCAAAATCGAGAACCTGACAAGACTAACCCATTTTTTTTTAAATACAATTTTAATCCTAAACTCTTTTTTTTTTTAAATAACCACAAGTTATCCTCTATGAACCGGCCCGTAAGTAGAGGGATCAATTTGCAAAAAAAAAAAAATGAATTGACCGCACCCTGACCATTGACTTGACTAACATTTTAAAATAAATAAATACAAAAGATACCATTTACAATTTTCAACAGTTAGCGTGTATTATTCGTTTAATTAAATTAAAAAAAAAGTTTTATAAAAATACATTTTTGATGAATATTACAGAAAGTATTTGTAGTCTAAAGGAAAAAACCATCAACCTCTCGTCCTGCTATGGCCTCTCGATATATGCCAACTGCTTCCTGCATTACACTTGCCTCAGATAACAATTTACTTCTCCTCTTTCCAGATGGATGGGTAGAAAGATAATCTCGCAATGCCGAATCACCCGCTACTTGACCCAACTTCTCGAATACCTTTGGTGCGATTCGAGGATCGTACCCAGCTGAAGCCATCAACAGCAGCCCTATATAATCAGCTTCGATCTCCATCCTACATACACACATTCAACACAACTTTTCTTCAAGGTTTCATGTAAGAAAACACGTGAATTTATTCACCCTTGTTCCATATTGTTTATGGGTTTGTAAGTTCAGTATGTCCCACTCGGAATCAAACTATCAACAAACACACAGGTTCATAAAAGAAAAGACCGAAAGACTACGGACATGCTTGTATATGAAAATATATTTCATTAGTTAACAACCATAACTAGTTTCCCGTTAAGAACATGTCAGATTAAAAACAACATTGCAGACATACAAACCAAAGTGGGGTTGCCCCCAAAGAGTAGAGTGGGAACTTAAGCATGTCATGATCAAGTTAATCCTATAAACTAACAACATACCTTCGGGAGAAAGGAAGCTTAAGCAGAAGATTTGACATCACGTTGACAAGATCTGGCATAACGAACTGATACAAAAATAGCTGTCCGATGGTAAACCAGAGGTTTTTTGTAATCTGCTCAGCTGAATGTCTTGCCACAGCATGTGCAACCTATAACCATATTCATGATTAGCCAAAATACCAAGACATATTTACACATAACCGCCAAAGAATGGTAACTGTTAGGCCCTTAACATCATGAGCATTGCAACATTTTTTGTAATGCCAATGGGCAAGTAAGGGGCTGTTTAACTACCTCTTACCAGATAAGAGGTTCTAACCATGGTAACAAGTGATGTGTTTACCAAATTTAAATTAGGCCTTGTTTGTTTTTTTAAAAACACCTCTTAGTGCTCTCTTAAGTCTTATTCTGTAAGAGGTTTACCTTTTCAGAGTGTATTTTTTTTTTCTCAAAACAAGAGCTGAAAAGTTAAATTTGAACTGAAGGAACGATTATGTATATTCATCATTGTTGAACATGAGGTTGTTTGTTCATCATTGTTATCCTGAAACGAAGCTTGTTGTTGGTCTAGCTTAAGGCTCTGTCATCAATTCGAGGTTTATTTTGGATAAATTGTTGGTTCCTATATTATTATTTTGACAAGATATGTGGTTGGGAAATGTTTGAGGACACAAAACTCTGGATGAATTGTCGGTTCCTATATTCATCATTGTTTACTTCAAATTTGATTTCATGTAAGAAGGTTTTGATTTGCATTTTTCTGGTCTTTGTAGTTCCACCAATGTGATAATTGGATCTATGATCAAATGCCTTCAAGGATTGTGAAAACTGATAATTGGATTTGTATTTGATGCACCTATACACTCTTCTCTTCTATTTATTGTGTTCTTTCTATTTGTAGCTTAACCCAACTAGTTTTGTCTAGAGTGTTTGCTTAAATTGGTAGTTTGTTTATGTAAATAATATAAAGTTTCTTGGTTATTTGTTGTAGTATTTGATGAGATTTTACAAATAAGGTGGACAAACAGGTTCAATCACAATGGAGTACTGCTGACCAAACATACGACTAAGAGAGAGGAGCTGTAATCAGGCAAAAGACTTTCAGAATGCTTTAAAACAGCTCCACTAATAAGAACCTTGTCTGGTCGTTTTGTTGCCGATATAAACCATGGTTTTCGTATATATAAATGTGATCCTTCTAAAAAAACTTCATGGGTGATCTCAAAAGTTTTTTTGTATCAATTGACATACTTTAATAGGATTTGAATGTAAATAGAGATTGATTTTAGTTGTTATGAAACTTCGTTCATATATTTTCTATTGTGTTTGGATCAATCGATGTACCTTGATAGGATTTGAATGTATTTAAATTAGCGATTACATATTTTCGTTAAGATGAATTGCTAGTTTACAATTTAGATGTAAATTTTGTAAGGATGATGAATATACAGATGAAATTATATAAATGTACACAAATTCACCATTATAATATAGGGTAAAATAGACAACTATAGAGATTCAGACATTTATAAGTTTACAACAATAAACTGTCTTATTGGTGCTGCTTTCAAAGTGCACGACCTCTTACCAATCAGAAGTGAAATTGAAACAAAACTTCAGACTTCAGATTTCAGCACCTACTAAAAAACAAACAGCACTGTAAGTCTGTAACCTCTTACTGATCCTGCATTGCTTACCAAATTCAGAGGACTAGCAAATGCTTCTAGGTCGCAAGTTATTGTGTGTTTGATTTTGAGGTTTTTTTTTTCTATCGACATTTGTGCGTTCTTTGATGATTTTGCTTTATGGGATTTATGATTTTGCTTGAGCTGTGATCATTCAACTTCTTTTGCTTTGCTTTGCTTTCCACTACCTAAAGTTGTTTCATTGGTTGTTCTTTTTTTAAGTATACAATATTTATATACGGCATATGAACTCACACACCCTCCTCACTTTTGGTGAGGTTTAAACCTTGACCTCCTGGGAGGCTAGGCTCTACCAGTAATCCGGATACCGCTAGGCCAAAGGCCCTTTGGTTCTTCTTTGTAAGGCACCAGCTACAATATGAGGTATAACGAAGTCAAACCAAGATTGGGCTCCTAAACTCTTAGTTCGTGTGAACTTAGACACCTAAACTGTTGTTGCTGTTGGTTCTCATGGGCCAACATAGAAATTTTGGAGCTTGAGGGTGAAACAGGCTCAACGCTTCTAGGGGACATCCTCCCAGATGATTGAACTGCAAAAGATGCATTTGTGTTGATTGAGACCAACATACTCTGCTGTTGCTGAGATTAATTGAAAGCAGACGAGTTGTGTGTAGCAAAAAAAGACAAATTGATCATAAAATCAAGGAGATGAACTCTCAGCTGCAAAAATGTCATCCAGTTCTGTAGGGGGTAGAATCGATTGGTTATGAACATCCCTTTATTGCCTGGATAGCTCAGTTTTGTTGGTTTGAATGGCTTAGAAAACTTCTTCTCCTCCACATCTTTTGAATTGAGTTTCCCCCTAATTTAATGTAAAAAATGAATCATAGTGAATAGCTTCAATTAGTTCATGTATTTCTACATGTTCATTGTGATGCCTTCTGGGTGGGTTAGCTCTTAAACTACTTCTCAAGGCAATGAAAATATGGCTAATTTGCATGATCAAATTACAAAGTAACTGTTGTTAAATGCTTCAAATTATGTTGAAAATCAATAAATTTCCTTTTCTAAATATACTTTAAATTATGCTTCAAAAGTCATATTTCATTGAATGTTTTATCATACAGAAGGTTATAATAGTATTTTTTTGTCGACCGTGCTTAATCCAAAACACTTGGTAAACATTCGTTTTCTAGACAACGTTTACTGTAGACAGATCCTCTAACTCTAGACAGGCCCTTATTAACAATTTTTAGATTAAGAACTTATCAAGGAAGGAAATGCAAATTTTATGGAACATCTCAAGAATGGAAGTGTTAAAAATTTTGTGGGATGGAAGAAATCAAGAAATGCATCTTTCTCTTGGATCCGATAAATAAATAGAACCCTATAAATCTAGTTCTCGTCTAATCCACTCAACTACTTCCCACCTCATTATTCTTTTGATACCATCCTATCAAGTCATTTCTTAATAACAAATGTTGATAACTACCAGAAGTGTGATGAGGTCAATCTGTCATATAGAGATCATGCATACATTAAGACAAGAATTATTGTCCATTTCTTTACAATGATATTGACACAAGAATATTAAACAAGTGTTAGGACTACTTGATCCAAATGATGAAGATGCCATGAATATAATAACGCCTTCTAAATTTAATGCTCACCAAAGGTTTCTTAGGGTGCAGGAATTCAATTATCTTCCCTCAAGCACAAGGATGATTTGGTGCTGAAAATTAGAATGTGAGGATAACTAAGAATGACCCTTAGATCATTTTTTATATGTCCTAATGAAGAATCATAAAAATATTAGGGTGCAGAAATTCAATTATCTTCCTCAAGCACAAGGATGATTTGGTTCTGAAAATTAGAATGTGAGGATCACTAAGAATGAACCTTAGATCTTTTTATATGTCCTAATGAAGGATCATAAAAATATTATCTCCCTAGTAGCTTCTTTATGATCCATTATGCAATCATTCATCAGTTAGGGGTTATAGCATAAAATTACCAACCGCTTATATTAATCACCATAGCATACATGTCCTTAATGTGTACCTACTAAATAGTGAAGGGAAGGTAAACAAAACATAATTCCAACACACATTGTAATCAAATATACAAATGAATTCCGATCATATTAACAGGTCAATAAACTAAACTTACCTCATGACCAATGATGGTAGCAATCTCTTCGTCGGTTTTAAAGTGCTCTAACAACCCTGTAAACACCACGATCTTCCCACCGGGCAAACAAAAAGCATTTACAACATGATCATTCACCACCAAAACCTCCCACTTCAATCCCTCCAAATGGGCAGTGGCCGATACTTCCCCCTTCTCTTTCCCCTTCTTCCTACTCTGATCAACCCATGTATCATCAAGAACTTCATCCTTGGCCGGCCACTTCTCTTCTCCACCAGTCTCCTCCGCCATGGCCATCAAAGCCTCCCTCCCTCTGCTCGCCGATGCAGCTCCACCCTCAGAAGCATAATTCAAATCAGTCCAAACCTCCTCTTTCTTCAACCCTCTTTGCAATGCCTCAATTATATCCTTGGAAATCATTTTCACCCTAACGCTTTCAGGGTGCATCGCTGGCAAAATCTTCCCTTTGAATCCAGCCTTCATGTTCTGGAACTGAGACTCGCCTAACATTTTCTCCATATTTCTAGACACCAAAACAAGATGTTTCCGTTTTGTGTAAGGTACTGTCTCAACATTCCCAAAATATATCGTTACCCCAACCCCTGATCCAACTAAGACAGCTATGAAAAGATTCCTAGGGTTATCAAACCATCCTTTGAATCCTCGAGGCTTAAAATGCCTAATTTGTCGTGAATCGACATAGTAATATCGATAACCACTTCCAAAGAATCGAAAACCTAAGCTCCTATCAACAGTTATGGGTGAAAACAGAGAAATTGCAGAAGACGTAAACTTACTCAACTTATTGTCGTGATTGGTGCTTGAAATTGGGTTTCGGATTGGGGATTTGGGGGCAGTGATTTTGGAGATGAAGTAACGGGAAGTTGCATCAAATCCGAGTTTTGATCTTCTATACCATGCCATCTTTGAGCTTACAAAGAAAATCACAACAGGGGTCAATAGCTTTGAAGATTGCAGAAAAGGAATGAAGGGGTGGCATGTAGAAGAAGTACAAGAAACGACGACACCGTGATTCAGTTTCTAGAAAGGAAAGGAGGAATCTAAAAGTTGAGAAAGGGGAAAGAGGAAAATTTGAACAAACGGCCCATCAACTATTTTTCAAGTCCATTTTAGAAGTAATAATCAATTTTCAACTTATGATTCTTTAATAAAATACTAGTTATATAACTGTGCAATGCGACGGGATGTGAAATTTTGAAAAGATATAAAAGGTTCTATCAAAATATATATTCAATTTAAATCATTAATTAAAGAAACTCATTTATAATTTCAAACATTAATTAATTAATACCTGCCCAGCAATATCAGGAGCAGAACCATGGACATTTGTTTTGTCAACAGAACAAAGCTTGCCACTCATAAAACCAACAGATCCATAAAAACCAGAAAACAAAAACACAAATAAAAACGTCTCCCAATCCATCAGATTCAGGCAAAGTTAGATTTTGTTCATGTTCAACATTGGCATCATCCATGATAATATTGAATTATAAACATAATTTCACTACCAAAATTACCCTCTTTTCCGGCGGACAAATCCGCCGGAAATCCGCCGGAAATTGGGTTTTCCGGCGGATTTGTCCGCCGGAAAAGAGGGCGCCGCTGATTTTTTTTCCGTCGAGTTTTCCGGCGGATTTTTCCCTTTTCCGGCGGACTACGGCCGCCGGAAATCTTTCACCGGAAAAATTAAGAAACTTGGTTTAACTTAATTAAAAAAATTTAAAACTTTTCCAGCGGATTTTTCCGCCGGAAATCCGCCGGAGTATTGCCTCGCCGGAAAAACTTAATTAAATAAGATTTTCAAAAAAAAAATTAAAATTTTACCGGCGGCCAAATCCGACGGTAATATTTTTTCTTTTTTTTTTTAAATTTAAACAAAAATTTTCAAAAAAAAATTTTAAAAAATTACCGACGGCCAAATCCGTCGGAAATCTGCCGGTAATATTTTTTTTTTTTAAATTTAAATAAAAAATTTCAAAAAAAATTTTAAAAAATTACCGGTGGCCAAATCCGCCGGTAATAAATTTTTTTTTTTTTTAGTAAATATTTAAATCCTGTAAATCTGTAAAAATATGGATAAAACTAAAATGCAACTAAATAYCATACATTGATTAAAATAAACAATTGTTACAAAACATACAATTTAAAGTATCACACAATGTTACAAACAAACTAGATTGTTCCAAATAAACAAACAATATTCAATT